CTGTCTGTTTGGGAATGAATGGATAAACAAAATTTGTTATGTCCAAATGCCACAATACTATTTATCTATTTTAAAGAGAGTGGAGATCCGATACAGGCTTTCACATGAGTAAATATTGAAAATACTAGAGGAGGAAAGAAACCGGATACACCAAAGGGTACTTACTGTAAAATGGCTATATTTAGGTGAAGTTTCTGGGATAGTCAATGTCATAGAGACAGAAAGAAAAGGTATTACTGAGAGAATGAGGAAGAGAGAAAATAGATTTGAAATGATGGAAAGTTCTGGAAATGAACACCTTACCAGTCGGGCAGCATGGTAACATGTTAGTGTCGTTGAACTGGACATATAGAAATGGTAAAAAACGAGGCTGCTGAGACGCTCAGTAGGTGCTGCCAAGCCTGACCACCTGAGTTTATTCTCTAGGGCCTACGTGGTGGAGCCAACTTCTATATAAATAAATAGTGTAATCGAAAGGTTAAAATGGAGCTAGAGAGACTGTTCAGTGGTTAAGAACGCCGCTGCCCTTGCAGTGGATTGAGGTTCAGTTCCCAGCACCCACACAGCGGCTCACAACCATCCCTAACTCCAGTTCCAGGAGATCCAATGCCTATTTCCAGCCTCCACGGGCTCCAGGCTCATACACAGTGCTCAGATATACATACAAGCAAATCATTCATACACATAAAATAAAAATAAATCTTTAAAAATCTTGAAGGTTAAAATGACAAATTTTCCTCTTGTCTATTTTACTCCCACACACTCGCACACATGCACACACAAACACACAAATCTGGTTTTCCTCCGTTAACAGTGAGTCTCTCACAGCCTGTGTCTGCACACTCTGTCACTCTCATGACTTCCAGGCATGATTTCCCAGCTGATCTCTCAAACTTAACATCCAATATTGATACCAATGGCACACACCCAACCAACTCCCTCCTTCCCTGGTGACGGCTACCCCTGTCCCTTCTTTCATGGGCCTTATCCCAACATTAGGCACCATCTCCTCTGATTCTTTCTTTTCCTGTCCTGCAACTGACCAGTTCCCAAGTTTTTGTTCTGTTTTCTTTGCTCTAGAGCCTGGTTTATTTACCTATTCTCTCTCTCTCTTTCAACAACACCTCTTTATTCCACGGTTTGAAACTCAGAGACCAACCACGTTCCCTGAAATTTAGCAATGGCATTCAATACAAGTCTCAAAACTGTAGTTCTAATGGGTTTCCTTAGAATTCACTTCATAAAGCCTTCATTTAAAAAATAAAATAAAAAGTTTCAAGCACCAGTAAGGCAGTAGCTAGCAGTGGCTTTATTTCTTCATTGTCGGGGTCAGACATGCAGGTCCTTCTTCCTGTGGGCCTGATCCCGTAAAGTGGGTGCGGCAGTCGGCCTTGCAGTGCAAAGTTTGTGAGTATAATTGACCGACACAAAGTGGAAGCCATTAAGAAGAGCTTAATAACAACTATCCGGAGACAATCACAGCTGGAGAACTGGCAGAATGTGAACAGGTTTGGAAAGGCGCTCAGCACGCACTGCAGCAAATGTTTACTCGGGAAGAGGTGAGAGGGGAAATTCTTTGTTTTTATATTTATTTATTTATTTATTTATTTATTTAATTATTTATTTATTTATTTATTATAACTTATTCACTTTGTAGCCTGGCTATAGCCCCTCCCTCAACTCCTCCCGTTCCCACCCTCCCTCCCTCTTCCTCCCTATACCCCTTCTCTGGTCCACTGAACAGAGGAGCCCTCCTCCTCTACTGTCTGACCCCATCTTATCAATTCTCATCAGGACTGAGAGAGGCGAGCTTCTTACGAGCTGCGCAAGAATCCCTAAGCTGTTCCAAGCCCATTTTCCTTCTGGTGTTATCTTTAAATACTGAAGAGCACTGTGGGCAGTGACACTCTGATTTCAAGAGGTGCCTGGGCCGGGGCACACGGTGATAGTTGGGTGGACAGTTCTGCAAGGCACTGACAGTACCTTTGGCCCTCAGCTCTTCTGCATCCAGTGCCTTACATTAAACCTTGCTCCATGGCAATCTCCCTACACAGCTGGGTGTAATCTGTGTTTGGAAGACTGAGGAGGCATCTTTTCAGTAAGTTGAACTCTTTAGCAGGAGAATTCCTCAAGGAATGACAAGTAAAACCTAAGGAACGCCTCCACAACATTTATTAGAGAAATGTGGTTCTCTGGAGAAATATCACTAAATTTGGCAAGAAATTTCTCAGCAGCATCTTTCTTGGCTTGTTTGTTTTGTTTTGTTTTGTTTTGTTTTGTTTTTTTAAATCTCCATTTCCAGTTTCCATACATGAGTCTAGCCTGCAAACTGGTTTTTCTCTCTCTGAGTAGGTTCTTCTTCCTGGGAAAGGGTATATTCAGGAAGTAGCCAGCCACAAGGAATAGCCAATTGAACCTGGAATGAACCAATTCTTTGGCAGTTTGGACAAATCAGGCAGTAAGGGGATCAGGAACTGCAAAGCAGATACTTCCACCGAGTTTCAAATGTTTGTGGCAGCCTTTGCAGCCGGCTTCTACATACACCTTAGCCTGTGCAAGTTATGTAGCCAACGGCGACTCTGAAAGAAAGCGAAAGAAGGCATACCTATTTGCACATTGGATCCTTCACATTCGTAAAACAACTGTTCTTGGTCTTCATGCGATGTTTGTGCAATACCTGAATCGGTGTTTCCCAGGCTTAGCTGTTACCTTTTCCCCACACTGAAGGTCCTGTTGCCCTCGTGCTCCAGCAGCAGGGTCTCGGCGTGATGCCTGCCGTGTGTGGGACATGGTCAGAAAGACATCTGGGCTGGGCGAGGAGAGCATTGCTGAGCATGGAACATGGCAGAAGAACATCTGGGCGGGGCGAGGAGAGCATTGCTGAGCAGGGTCCTCACTCTCAGCTCACCTTGCATGGGCCTGCTCTGGCGCTCAGATAGCTCAGATCACTGCCAGTCTCCCTCAGGCTAAGAGACAGGCGGGGTGAGAGCTAAATCCTGGTCTCTTGGCAGTCCTAGGATGGCCATCCATTAGTCTCCTTCTCCCTCTCTCCCCCTGGCTACCGTCGTAACCTCTGCTTGTCCCTCTCTAATGGCCCTGAACAGAAAGTCATCTTTCCTGCCACAAGCAATAGTGTTTTTCTCACCATTCAAATCTAGTCACGATACTTTTCGTGGTTCAGAAGGATGAAGCCCAAACTCCCTGCCCCCAGCACTGCCTGCCTGTAAATTTATTCCAGCTTTCTAGCCCTGCTGCAAACATGCCGCCTGTACTTTCTTCTTCCCCACCCAGGCTCTTCTCTCCCCATCCACAGTTTACGTTCGGGCTGGCTCTTGGTACTGTACACTCCAAAGTTTTAGACAGGCATGTGATGACATGTATCAGTGCAACGCCGGAGTATTTACTGTTCTTATAGCCTCTGCGCTCAACCCCGCACCTCGTCGGCACCCTTTCCTCTCCCTGTCCCTGTAACTGCTGATCCGCCTGTACCTCCTCTGACTGAGTGGCATCTAGTCAGCACCGTGGCCTTCCTTACTGGTTTCGTTCACTTCTGCACTCATTTAAGGCTCTCCCGTGTCTTTTCATCAATTGGTAGCTCTCTTTATTTTCAGTGCTAGATAGTATTCCTTTGTGTGGACCATCACCCCCTACGCAGCCATTCCTCCGCTGAAAGACCTCCTGTTCTCAAACTTTGAACAGTGTGAGCAAGAGCACCACAAGCACATTCTTGCAGGCATCCATTTTCATTTCTTCTGCGGCTAGGAAAGAGTTCACTTGCTGGATCACATGCTAAGAGAGGTTTTGTTTTAGATGCCAAACTATATAGATCCAAAGTGGCTGTAACCTTTGTGCTCCCAACACGCCTTGCCTTAGTGTGGCCTGTATTCTGGATTAATGGGCTTGTTATTTTCATTCACATTTCCCTGGCAACTACAATGGGAAACATCTTTTTATGTTTATTTAGCATCTTGTGTCCTTTTGGTCAATTATCTGTTTGAGTCCTTGGTGCATTTTTTTTAACCAAATTACTTGTGTTCTTGATCTTATACTTTGGGAGTTCTTTGTATAATTTAGATAATAGTCCTTCATTGTGTGTGTGTGTGTGTGTGTGTGTGTGTGTGTGTGTGTGTGTTGCAACATTTTCTCCCAGTCTATGGCTTGTCTTATTGTCTGAGATAGAAGACGTAAGATTTTACTCCAAAATAATGATCAGTGAACATCTCATAACATCATGAGTCCCTAATGCAGAATACATCTCTAAATTTATTGTGCAGACATAAGTTCTACATTTCTCTCCCTGAAGAGAGGTGCTTAATGGTGGAGGTGCTTAACTGAAGAAAATTAGGAGCAGCATCAGCCAGGAAGAAAGGAACCACCCAACTGTGAGACTGAGATAAGGTGCTGAGGGAGGAAAGGCTACAGGCTAAGTGGCCACAGAGGCAGAACACACACGCAAGGCCTGTCTTCCTCCTTCACAAAGAGTAGTGGAAGGCCAGCAGAACCTCAGTTCCTCCTCCTTCCTTTCTCGCTTTAGACACTGCCTCTCTATGTGGCCACAAACTTCCTGCCTCTACAGCCTGAGAATTCTGGGTTCCAGGCACATGTCATCGCCCTTGGCATTGGCGATACTGCCACACTTGTTTGGTGATGTTCTTTGTAATTTATGCACTGTTCCACATATTATAAAACTTCAGGGAAAAAAAAGTCCTTTAAGATACAGAATACAACAATTGGTCCAAAATGTTGGATCAATCTACTTGAGAGAGTAGTAATTTGACTCCAGCAAATAAAATGAGTTTTTCTGTGGATTCAGCATGCAGGGGTCTAAAAGATAAATGTGTTCCTCCCACCAATATAAAGACACAATACTTCCTCGTTGCTGCTAAATTCTCAAAAAGAAAGAAAGCATACAAATGAGTCACTTATTCCCGCATTCAGGGCTGAGAAGCCATATAAATTTCTCCAGCCCCCGTCAGGAAACATCAAAGCAGCTCTGAGAACAATCACCTTTTGATGGCAGCTATGAAGTTCGCCCTGCTCTGCACTGTGTGTCTGCTGCCCGGCCACCTGGCCCTGCCACTGTCCAGGGAGGCTGGAGACGGGAGCGCGCAGCAGTGGGAACAGGCTCAGGTACAAGGCTCTCTCGCTTGGGGTTCTTTGGCCTCACTACCGGCAATCCACGTGTGTTTTTGAACGATTTGTCCGTCAGTGTTGGTGCGGCAGTAAATATTCTTGGGCGTAACATTCCTGGTTAGAAAGGCAGTGTGTGCTTTCTGAGGATAGCCATCCAAGCTGGCCTCCAGGGCCTTCCTGAGCTCTGAGCGCCAGCTGCCAGCTCCTTTACCTGCTGACTAGGTGGGCTTGCAAATGTCATCGCATTTCTGACTTTTTCAATTCAGAAACTGGAGAAGCATGATAATGGTGTCACCAGGTGGGGCTGTCATGAGACAATACAGCACTTGAAATCCCATCCATGCTCAGGAAATGCAAGTGGTATTATTATTTACTGCTACTTAAAATTATTTCCGTGAACTGCAGTTCGCCTGCACTGTGCCTCTAAGGATGAGGTCTCTCTAAAGAGACCTGAATAGCGTGTCATTTAATCACTAGCACTGTGCTGAGAATTCAAAGGCACCTTGATTCACCTTCTTTCTACCAATAGAGACAGGAAGCAGGATAAGCTTTTCTAGCTCAGAAATCATGTTTCTTTGAATATATTGTTGAATAAGTACAATAATTAATAAATATAAAATGTCATTTGGTAAAACTGGATGACTGACTTTAAGCTTTAAAAGACTTTTTTAAAAGACCCAATTGATAGACTAGGTTCAACCACATGAAATCACCAATGTTTAACTTATTTTTACCTTACCAAATAGCATTTTTAAGAGATTTTAATCCAGTTTTCTCTAGGATGCTCTCAAAAGGGTTTTTAGGCCCTTTGCGTAAACACAGATGGTCTAGTAGAAGGAGGGTCATTATGTGTTTGAGCCCAGCCTGAACCACACAGTGAGTTCCAGGCTAGCCTATGCTACAGAGCAGGATTCTATCTCAAATCCAAAACAGGAATAGAAAAAGAATGCAAACTTGTTTTCCAGAGAGTGTCTTATGGGAGTCCACATCTTCAAAAGGAATACAATGTTTGTTACTTGTGTTTAAAGAAAGAATTCATTCATGATCATTATGAGTAAATAATAAGAATTTGTTGTAGTGAATGAAACACCATAACAACAGGTAGGAAGGCATGTTATTTGTCAATTTACTTTGTAAAATGCATTGTCACGGGAGATTTTCAGACAGCTATCTACTGCCAGGTGGTCTAATACTGTCAGCAGACCACTGGGCAGATGGTAAGCCATTCAACCATCCCCCGACTGCGCACTTCCTGAGCCTGAACATGTCCTAAGGAAGCTTCTTTGGAAGTGGATCACAGGCTCCTGGGACCATCTCTGCCGGATGCTTCACCTCTCGAAGCCAGGTGTCTCCATATAAAACGGAGGCGTGAGTTCCATCCCTGCTTCTCAGGCTGGTTATGGTTTTAATTGAAATAAATGTGGAGTAAATGTGTGCCTGCCCCTAAGAAGAGACTTTAGTGCCTTTGTGAATCACCACCACATTTTCTCACCTCTTCATATTCTGACCGAAGAGCTCCCTCCCCACTCCCAGACGCCAGGAGACTTTCAGACATCCTCTTATGCTGGGGAAGATCTGGGGGCTCTGTTTTCTTCTGCCGCCTCCTGGATGGGTTGTGCTAACAGCAGGCAAGGGGAATGGAGGCTGCTGACAAGGGAATCCCAGACCAGGTCTGCCACTAATTCAGGGTGTGAACATGGACGAAATATTCGGGTGCTAGTAGCTGTGGTTTCTTCCTGAACAATTAATTCAAACTAATTAAACTAACAAACGCCTGATCTCTTCCCTGCTGAAATGGTAACAGCCAGATCACAGCAGCTCTTGCATGGCCAGTGGACATCAGATTGCCCCACAGGGCCTGTGATGCCCAAGGTTCTCACTGTGTACTCAACTGCTCCCTCTCCCTCTTCCCCTCCCTTTCCCTCCCCCACCTCTACCCTTCCTCCTCCTCTTCCTTCCCCTACTCCTCCTCCTATCCCTACCTCTCCTCCTTTCCCTCTTCTTAACCCTCTATCCCCCTCCTCCTCTCCCTACCCCTCCCTCTCTCTTCCTTTCCCTCCCTCCATCCCCCTTCTCTTCTCCATCCCCTTTCCCCCTTCCTTCCTTTCTCCATCTCTCCCTCTCCCCCCTCCCTCTCTCTCTTTATTTCCCTTTCCCACTCTCTCCCCCTCTCCCTCTATCTCTTTGCCTCTCCCTTTCTCTCTCTCCCTCTCTCTCTCCCTCTGTCTGTGTATGTATATCTGCTATGTGTATGTATATGTATGTGGTTTTCCTGTGTGCGTCTCTGTGTGTACACATGTCTGTGCATATGTGTGTATGCATGTTTATACATATTTGTGTGTATGTGTGAGTGTATGTGAGTGTGGGTATGTGTGTATATGTGTATGTATGTGTGAGTATATGCATGTATGTGTATGAGTGAATGTGCATGCTTGTGTTTATGTGTGTAAGTTTGGGTACTGTTGTATGCATGACTGCACGTGTGTATGTGTGTGTGTAGGCCAGAGGTTGGTACTATTGATACTGGGAGTCTTTAGTGACCCTACAGTCTCTTCTCCCTGGCACTAGAATTATAGAAGTACCAGGTTGTGGGTTTTTTTGTTTTGTTTTGGTTTGGTTTGGTTTTTTTACATGGCTTCTGGGAATCAAACTCAGATCCTCAAGTTTTTGAAGTGAGCTCTTCTCTAACTGAGCCATGTTTCTCCCGTCCTTAGTGTGGTCACTGAAGACATACAGATACTTTCTACTACTCTAAAAATAAAATCAAGCTTTAGACAGTGGGTGGTGTGTCTGTCCTCAAAATGACAGTGGTACTAAGGTGTTCTATGCAACAGCAGGCCAGTGCTTCCTTGTCAATCTTCCATTTCCCTCACCAAGAAAGATTTACTTTACTCCATAACTATGTAACAATTCTGTTCAGATCACTGTTCAACTCCACAACAGCAGCATGTATAAGAGGTGCAGATTTTCAAATAAAAGACCATGAAAAATTCTTTACTCTCTGTCTACCAGAATTATCTCAGGAAGTTTTACCTTCACAACTCTAAAACAAAGGACGCCAACAGTCTGGTGCTCAAAATGAAGGAAATGCAGAAGTTCTTTGGCCTGCCCATGACTGGAAAGCTATCCCCCCGCATGATGGAAATAATGCAGAAACCCAGATGTGGAGTGCCAGATGTTGCAAAATTCTCATTAATACCAGACAGTCCAAAATGGCAGTCCAGAATTGTCACCTACAGGTGAGGTCCACTTTGGCTCATTCTGCTGGGGGCAGCAAAACCCTTTCCCTGGGAGCTCAACCCCGTCTTCTTGTCTGCCATCAGAATCATATCCTACACTTCAGACTTACCACGGCCTGTGGTGGATCAAATTGTTGCAAAAGCTCTTGGAATGTGGAGCAAGTATATCCCACTGAACTTCAGGAGGGTTAAGTGGGGAACTGCGGACATCATGATTGGCTTCGAAAGGGGAGGTAAGGATGGCTCCTGAGTGCTATTCCTGTATGCCATTTGACCTGCTTGCTATTTATATTAGCGTTCTCCTTTCAGGATTTAAACCTTTTTTTTTTTCATGAACACCAGAGATGGCTTTTATTGATGAAGATATGTCTAACACATGAGAGGTCTTGGTTTCAATTCTCAGTATCACACACAAACGCACATGCATTCACACACTGTTGTAAGATCCTGAATCCAGTGAGCTTTCCACATACGATGGTCACCAGGGATGAGCAGTGGATCTAATGATAGGCAAGTGCCTGGACCAGATCTACAGCCCCCTCATCCTTGTGTGAGACTGCCTATTTGCTACCAAGATGGTCAGCTTCCTGGACGGGCTTTTCTCTCCAACCTTCATGACCATATAATCTGGAGAGAGGCAATAACCAGAGAAAACGGAGACTCTAACAGAAATCACAGTGTTGTTTTGCAGATCATGGAGACAACTTCCCGTTTGATGGGCCAGGAAACACTCTAGGTCATGCCTTCGCACCTGGACCAGGCCTGGGAGGAGATGCTCACTTTGACAAGGATGAATACTGGACCGATGGTGACGGCACAGGTACAGTATCCTATGTCTCTCCTGCTGCATATCTTTTCAGGAGCCCTGGACTTACGCCAACTTTAATTTGAGCATCACCTTAATTATAACAGAGACAGATTAAGGGTCAAGTAATGTGGTATATGCTTTAAATGTTTTGCCTCAATGCCTCGTGTTTTTAATTTGCATGTATGTGGCATATACATAGAGACTTGTGTGGTAGGAGAAAACTGACTCTCACAGGTTGTCCTCTGACCTCCATACTTTTGTGGTGGCACAAGGACACACACATACACAAAACAAATAAATAAGATAACATAATAAAAGAAATGAACCATAAGTTCATCTTGGGGCCCTGAACTGGTCGCAAAGCTAAAGGGTAAACTGAGAGCAGTCAAAGCAGTTAGCTGGGCCTTCACAGCCCAAAGCTAACAAAAGATGGAAGGTTAAACTCATGATAGCAAGACAGTTGGCGATCTCAGAATCTGGGACCACAATGAGCAGCTTCTAACTGACTACAAAATTAAAACCAACAGTAAAAACGTGTGGCGAATTCATTATTTCTTCCTCGGTAGCCCAAGGAGATGGGTACAGCTCTCACACCCAAAGCTCCCAAAAATACACTCATCAGAATTTCTCCACAGAAGCTTCAGCGTTCAGCACACACAGATGTGAAGTAACCCGATCATTTTCCAGCAGCCCCAGCTTGCCCTCCAGCAAAGCATATTATTCTATCCCTGGATCCTGCTTTCCTTGAAAAATTACCACAGGCTTTCTCCTGCTCTCCTTTTGGTTCTTCTCTGGAAAGCAGGTTTGGGTGTGTGTTTTTAACCTTAGTTCACGTCACTAAAGGACCAAGGCTCTTACTAGTGTTCTGATTTGAATGTGAAATGTCCCTGTGAAGTCCTGTGTTTAAATACTTGATCCCCAGTTGGTAGAACTATTTAGGAAGGTTATAGAACCTTTACAAGTGGCATCTTGCTGGGGGAAGCATGTCACTGAGGGCAGGCTTTGATGGCTTATAGAACCCTACCTCTTGTTCTCTATGTGTGTATGTGTGTGTGTGTGTGTGTGTGTGTGTGTGTGTGTGTGTGTGTTCTCTCTCTCTCTCTCTCTCTCTCTCTCTGTGTGTGTGTGTGTGTGTGCGTGTGTGTGTTAATTCTGATCTAAAGATTTCTTTTCCTGATACCTGCTGTTGCCATGACTTCTCTGACACTATGGATTCCATCTTTCTCACAACATAAGCCAATATAAACTTTTTCCTTCCTAAGTTACTTTGGACCTTGTGTTGTATCACAGCACAGGAGAGTCAGGAAGGTGTTCCCCACTTAGCCTCCCTCCCTTGCTTTTGAAGTAACGAGTAAGGAAGGAAGGCCGGGTTTGGCTGTCCTTCATCATGGTGTGCTAGATCGCAGGCGTTGATGTTATTATTTTAATATTTACCGCGTACACTTCCCTGGCTGTAGGAATCAACTTTCTCTTTGCTGCCACCCACGAATTTGGCCACTCTCTGGGTCTGGGGCACTCTTCCGTTCCCGGTGCTGTGATGTACCCTACTTATAAAAGCGGCAATTCAGAAGACTTCAGACTTGCAGAGGACGACATTGAAGGCATTCAGATGTTATATGGTAATAATTATGGCTTTCAAGAAGAGAATGTCATGCTTGAAGGGAAGATGTCAGAAAATAGGGACCTGCATGGAGAACCACAGCGGGACTGAAATCTGAAACCTGTGCGGTAGGCCAGTAGAGTGTGTGAGGCCTCAAGTTTATTCCTCAACACTTCAGACAAATACAGATAAAGATGTTCTGAGGTGAAGAGACAGCCTCACATTCCTGAAGAGGTTGTTTTATACTATGCATATGAAGAGATGTTCATTTTCTTTTTAATTGATTTTTATACATTTGTGTGAGTGTGTATGTGTGAGACATAAAGAGAGAGAGAGCTCACAAAGTGCTACACATATATAGAGGCCAGAGGACAATTTGCAAGAGTCAATTTTCTGCTACATGGGTGCCAGGGTCATCAGACTAGGCACCATAGCTGTCACATCAGCTGACATTTCATACTTGAAGCTTCAGAAGTCCACTATGAGATGGAAACGTCAGCATCCTCCTTTGCTTATCTAAGATGCATTAAGAGAGCCCCCATCCCAGACATTATCCATAGCTGCGCACTGCCACGGAGCTGCCCTGGATGGTCAAAAGTGGCCCAGTTTTCTTGTTTTTACAAACATGTAGGGAAGTGATTCCCCAATAGCTATGAGAGTAAACACTGCCCATGGTAGGTCACAGTCTCTCCTTTGTTCTGATCAAATTCCAAAATCAGTTGTTTCGAAAAGCAAACATCAGTCAGCATTTGCTTGATGGATCTCATTAGAAATAGTATTTGTACTTGCCGCTGGCAATGTGGCCTTATCAGGCCACAGAGGAACAGGGTCCAGGCAGTTCTGATGAGACTTGATAAACTAGGGGTAGATGGCAGAGGAGGAGAATTATCCATTTCAATGGACTAGGGGAAGGGGAGGGGGGAAGAGAGAGGGAGGATGGGGCTGAGAGGAGTTGAGGGATATATAATGAATAAACTACAAAAAAAAATAATAATAATTTAAATTAAAAAAAAGAAATAGTATTTGTAAAACAGATGAAAGGCATGATAAACACTGATATCCCTGGATAACTATGAGAAAAGGAAGGTTCAAGGAGGAGAAGTGACTTGGCAGAGGTCTGTGGCTTTCAGGTCACTGATTCCAGGTGCTGGCATGTGGTCATCACTCACCTTCTTAAAGCAACGCAGACAAAAGAACCCAGGGTTACACACTCATTAAATTTGTCTGAAAACCTACTTCACACATAAGTAAAGAATGAGAAGCTGGGCGTGGAGGCACATGCCTGTAATCCCAGCGCCCAGGGAGGCAGAGGTAGGCAAACCTCTGTTGAGTTTGAGGGCAGCCTGGTCTAAAGTGATTCAGACAGTGGGGACTACAGAAAGAAAACTTGTCTTGAAAAACCAAAACAACAACAACAAAACATATAAGAGTCTTTGAATGATCAAAAGAGAAACCTGTGCTCAGGGGAAAGCATTTCTACAGGAAAAGAAATGGATGCAAGCAGCTGTGGAACCTAGAATTCCCTGTGAATCAGCATTCCCACAATGTGTTCCTAGAACAGTTTGCAAAGGAGGCTGCTATTAAGATAGCATAATATTACTAGTGCTGCTTACTAAACTTTAGGTGCATATGATACTAAAGACTGCTGGACACATAGTCGGGCAATTTTTTCCTAAATTATAATAGTTTTTGAGGCAAGTTCTGTCTACATAGTTCTTGCTGTCCTGAACTTTCATGTAGGCCAGGCTGGCCTTAAATGTGCAGTGATCTCCTTGCCTCTGCTTTCCTGTCGCTGGAGTTAGAAGCATGTGCCCCCCCACACACCACATCTGCTAATTCAGACAGTTTTGGGGGTTGGTGTTTTGTTTTGTTTTGTTTTGTTTTGTTTTGTTTTGTTTTGTTTTGTATGATGCTGGGAATTGAACCTGGAACATTGTCTGTGTTTGCATAGGTGTAGAATATTTCCTCTGTGATTTTGTGGCACATCTTGATGCTCTTATTTTCTTCCTTCACAGGAAAGAGGTCTACGTTTTAGAAGATGTAGACACTCTTCTAAAGATGTAAGACACTTAAAAGAAACGATCCGCTATTCATTGGTTTTCTACTGCATCCCCCACTCAGAACGAGCCCTTCCTGAACTGCATGCAGCACCCGCCCTATTCTTGCTTGCGCTGTGGGTGGGTTCATATATTCCTCCGAGGGTCACCTTCACGGGGTGGTTCTGACTAGTCTCAGGTAACACGAAGTTGACAGGCATCAATAAATGTTATGTGCGCAAAGAAGCCCATATTATTCCATGGTGAAAACACTCATTCTTGAGAAAACTTTTCAGTGGCAAAGGGAGATGTGCATCACAAGGAGTCAAAGACCAGGAAACTAATGTAGATACTATCTGAGGTTCCTCAGCGACATCTTTATGAAATAGAGCGGGTGGGCGTGCTGCCTCCTTCTTAGTCACTGGTACGGCCCCAAGTTGTGGCCACTTCCTTATCTCTTTGGCCCAAGCCCACTCTGAATCTGCTGGGAACCCAAGTTCTTCCCACAGAATGCCCTGAGGCTTACAGCTTCATGGTTAATGCCAGCTCTAATTCCTGCCCCATATCTCTCTTGACACAGCTACATGCTGGAAGGGACAGCCCTAGGCGCTGGGGACTCTGAGCCAAGACTTGTTGGTGATAAGGTTCTACCGGGAAGATCTATGAGGTTTGGCTACCAAGGATTCCAGAAACACCATGGGACTTTGCCAAAGTCAGCTTGCTCTGTGACTTTTGGGCACCGTAAAATATGATAGTCTCTCTCCAATAAATACCCTTTTGTCTACTCGAGGACTAAAAAACATAATTTTCCCTATAAAAGAAAAAGCTGCATGTTAGAAAGGGTTCTCTGGAGCAACAGAATCAGTAAAGGCTGGGTAGTTGAACAGTGCCCCTCTGTACAGTTGGCAGCCTCTGACGGTGGGTGCCTCCTCTGTCCCAGTCCAAGGCTTGGTAGATTCCTGGGGTCACTGGTTGGTAGTCTAAGTTGGAAGGGCAAAAAAAAAAAAAAAAAAAAATTGGAGTGTGCTCTCAGCCAAAGGATGGCAGGATGGACACGCTCACTCGGGAAGAGGCTGTGGAGGTGGTCGGCACAGACAGCTGTTCCCTGGGAACTCGTTGTATCTTGGAAGATGCCGGCACTTTGAGGGTGGGTCTTTCCCACTTAGTCAAACCTCTCTAGACAGCCTCACAGATAGGCCCAGGGGTGTATCTCCTTGGTGACCCTCGGTGGTCCCCTCAGGTTTGTCACTGTGGTCTTTATCTTCCCGTTAGCTTTATGTACCATTCTCGTCCTTCAAACCCAGAAAAACAGAGCCTGGAAAAGCATAGCAAGGAGCAGAGAGGTGACTGCGGTGACGCACTCTGAGTGCGCTGCTTTCCCTGTACCCGGGGTGGAGCTAACCACAGCTGCCTCCGGGGCTGTTATTAACGCATAAGTAATGTAGCTAACAGAAAGACTACAATGACACCGTAGCTTCTGTTTGGATACTGCTCTACCCTCTCAGGAAGTCCAGGAATTCCCCAACTCCTCTCTGCACTTTGGACGACCGCTTTTTGTTTTGTTTTACTTGGGGGGACAAGGTCTTGCTACGTATTCCAGACTGACCTCAGACTCATTAAGTAGCCCATGCCGGCCTCACACTCATAATCCTCCTGCCTCCGTGCTGAACTTTCAGATTCACACTTAGGCAAGCCTGTTACCGTTGAGCTACGTCCCCAGTGCCTGTCCTCTGTTATACTTCCCTCGTTTTATAAGGTAGAACTTACAAACCTTCCCCTTCCAAAATCGGATGACCTCTTAACCATGAAGTATGGCCCGGCGGGGATGAGAACACATCACCAAGCCTTTCAGCCTAAGTTTGGTCCCTAAGGAGGAGAAAACTGACTGGAAGCTGTCCTCTGACCGCCACAGGCACACCGCGGCACGCGTGCGCTCATGCACACGCATAGAAAATGCAAGACAAAATTTGGAGAGATTTTAGGGAAAACACCTTAGAAAAGAAGGGGAGAGAGTGAGCAGAGACAGTCCTGGAAATCCAACTCAGACCATCAGCCTTGGCGGCCAGCATCTTTACCCCTGCCTCAGCTCACTAGCCCTGCCCCCAAGATCCCTTGCGTGTCTAATTCTATCTTAGCGCCCACTTTAGAAGACCAGAGCTGACACCAGCAGTGTCCAGTTTTCTATTATTGTATAAAAATGACCCAAGATGCTGAGACTTAGGCGCTCAGGCCAGGCTCCTGGGCGGTCCTGCCGTTCAGTGAGGTAGACAGTTTGGTTGGAAAGATTTCCGAGCCTCACTCATGTGTATGCTGTGCCAGGACAGAGACTGCAAAGCTGGGCTCAGCTGGGTCTGTCAGCCCAACCACGGTGCCTACATGTGGCATATCTGGCAGGCATGTGTGTGTGTGTGTGTGTGTGTGTGTGTGTGTGTGTGTGTGTGTTATGAATGTTTGCCCTGTACATATATGCACCATGTGTGTGTGTCTGGTATCTGGTATCAATGGAATTAGAGGGCATCAGAGCGCATGGAACTGGGGTTAGAGGTGGTTGTGAACCAGCATGTGAGTGCTGGAAATTAAACCTAGGTTCTCTGCAAGAGCTACTGGTGCTCTAACCACTGAGCCATCTCTCTAGTTCTAGCATGCAGGGCATAATTTGAATTTCTCTTTGGATGTGTCTTTCCCTTTATATAGCACTACTCCTGCCATTCTCTAATTGGTAAAAGAAACAACAAATGCATCCACAAAGGAAAAAAAAAAGAGTTGATCATGTCAGATGCTAGACTGATGAAATGCCAAACCAGTGGCTGACCCAGCCTGAGACTCACCCCACGGGAGCCAGCCAACCCCTGACACGAATAACGACAGTCTACTCTTCTTGTAAACAGGTGCCTAGCATAGCTGCCCTCTGGGAGGCTACACCCAGAAGTTGATGGAAACAGATGCAGAGACCCACAGCCAAACATTGGGTGACGCGAAGGGAGCCTTGTGAAAGAGTAGGGGGAAGGATAGAAGGACCCAGAAGGGACAGGAGCTCCACAAGAAGACAAACAGAGGCAACTAACCAGGGCCCGGGGTGGGGTGGGGGGGTGCTATGGAAACTGAAGCACCAACTAGGGACCATGCATGAACTGGACCTAGGCTTCCTCCACAGATGTAGACAATAGGTGGCTCTGTCCTCGTATGGATTTCCTAGTAAGGGAAACGAGGGCTGGCTCTGGTATGGAGTTTCCCCTGGTGGGAAACTCCTACCTTACTAGGCCATAGGGGAAGAGGATGAGCTCAGTCCTGATACAACTTGATATGCTCTACTCCTTAGAGAAGGGGATGGGGGAGAGGGGAAACAGGGAGGGAGAGTGGGACCAGAAGGAGTGACAAGAAGGGGCTACGATCGGGATGGAAAATGAATAAATAAAAATTAAAATAAAAAAATAAGAGTCGATCGACACTTTCAGAACCAAGAAATTCACAGCGATGTTCTAAATGGCCACACGGGGTCACCCTTCCACCTATGAAAACACCTGCCATTTAAACCAGGGGGCACTTACTGATTCAAAAGCATGTTGGCTACCACAGACGTGCTGGGGAGATCCCACCCAGTGTTTTCTAGTTTGTGCCCTCTTTTGTCACCATAGTCCAGCTGTCGATGACAGCCAAGGACAGGGACTTGGTGCTGGTGGATCCCTAGACTGCAGCCCTTATGAAGGGAGATAAAGCAGCTTTGTGGTTGCCACAATTTTTTTTTTTTTTTTTTCTGTGAATGCAGAAGGCTGGCATGATACATGGCCTCTCGTCACAGATTCGCCGATTACTCGGAGCCTGTGAAACAGCAACTCTTCCGTTTTCCAGCGAGCACAAGGAGGAAGAATTTCAGCGGCCTGACCTCCGTCTACGGGTCAGCTGTGATCTGCTGCTGCCTTCTGAAGCCCTAATTGATGAGGAAGAGACTTGGAGTTATGGGCTGGTGTTGTCTAGGACTATTCTCCCAGGCAAACTGCCGCCGTCGTCAGGAGTGCAGGTGGGCCTCTTCTAAAACAACCGTCCCAGCTGGGTTAACTGTTGACAAGTCCCTTATAGAAGGCGGGGATGAAAGGGGTCATGGACCCTCAGCTGAGTAGGCAGCCCCCTCCCAACCGGTTGTGTGCAATTCTGCTGTGATTGCCCATGGCCTTAGCGGGTAGCTGCAGTGTATGGGAAAGGCAGGCTAGGAGAGGGGGCTCCCTCTGCATGTGAGGCAATCATCCGTGCTAGACATACACCTTCTCCACCAGAACTGCTCTTCAACCACGCAAGATCCTGCCTGCACCCCGTCTCATTGCTCCATAAGGTTCCCCAGAGTGAACTGAGGTGGAATCACATCTGTTTGTGGGTCCTCAGGAGAGGTAGACAGCATTTGCATCTCCAACAAGCAAAGGATTTTTTAGCAACAGCTGGGAATGTAGCTTGATGGTAACGTATTTGTCTATCGCACGAGGCCATGGGTTTGATTCCCAGTACAAAAAAAAAAGGAAGGGGCTGGTGGTGATAATTAAGGCTAGCAGGTGTTCAAGGAACAGCATGGCGAGTAAGTGTAGCTTGGTAAGCTACCATACTCAAGTCTCGGAGGTCGATTCTCCCACACAGAATGATGGTCTTGTCTGTCTGTCTGTCTGTTTGAGACAGGGTCTCACTATGCAGCCTTGGATGCCATGGAACTGACTTTGTACATAAGGCTGGCCTCAGACTCACAGAGATCTGCCTGGCTCTGCCTTCCAGGTGTCGGGATTAAAGACGTGAACCAGCACACCTGGTTTACAATAGTCTTGAAATCTGTGTTGTCCTTTGCAGAGTCATCTTCACAAGAATTTCAGTTTAGACTTGGTGATGAGGGAAGATTTGCCATCCCAGGCATTGATAGTGGGGAGAGCCGTGTGTGTGTGTGTGTGTGTGTGTGTGTGTGTGTGTGTGTGTGTGTGCCACGTATTGAAGCAATGTCTTCCGTAGTCCAGGCTGGCCTCATCGTGAATAAGGACCTTGAATTGCTGCCTCCCACCGCCAGGGTGGCGTTGTCACGGGCATTCTCCGGAGATGGAGCCCAGTTCCACACAGACAAACCCTCCTCCAGCAGAGCTACACCCAACTCTCTCGGTTCCATTTCTTGTGAGACACCGTAACAGATCCTAACCTAATGAAGAAGTGAAATTTCTTAGAAAATGTACCAGAGAATTCACGGACTCAGAGAGAAGGCCGGGAAAGCAGGCTAGA